ATTATTTTTCATAAAATATATTGTGTCATATACTGTGTTTATTGCTATTTTAAGTAAAATAACATTTTAAAATTTTCTCAGTTTTAATTTCTAATATGATACATATTGACAGCTATAATCTACACCAATCAAAGATCTTTGGGATTCTCTATAACTTTAAGAGTGCAAGACGTCTTGAGATCAAAAAGTCTGAGAAAGATCAGCTTATATAAAAAGGGGAAGATTCAAGAAAATGTAGTATATTTGGTAGCACTCAGTTCATTTGATAATTTAATTTTGACTTGTTCTTTTCTTGAACTCTCAAATTCCCTAGACTTCATTCTAAAGACTACAGCTAGTGTAAACATAAAAAACAACTTTTTTTTTTCAGTTACAGTAGCAGTAACTGATAAAAATACAAGTTAATCCAAAAAATGCCCAACCCTTAAAAAAAACTGATTGTTCTTTCCCTGCAGAAAATGTGGGTGTGTGTATGTGTGTGTGTGTGTGTAGGGCAAACAGAGATGAGAGTCTGGAAGGGTTAGGACAGGAAAAAATTAGATTTCCCAAGTTTCCTACCAAATGGATATTTATTGCTTTATGTGGCCATCTCAGGCTATGTACCTCTTAAGGGCACTTCCTGTTCCATGCTCTTGTAAAATCTTTTCCAATATTGCTCCATATATTGCCTTCTAGATTTTCTTCTCAAAGAATTACTTTGTGTACAGTGGACTTTGGAAGATACACCATTCCATCTAACTTTTATTTTATTTCCGATCCAGTTTCTAATTTCTCAGTATTTCTTTGCATCATTTCTCAGCTTTCACTGTAGTTTGCTTTTCCATTGAAGTGTGCAGATTTCATTAATACTTTTGTTTACTCCTTCCTGAATTGAATTAATCAAGGTGTTAAATAAGACCAGACGCAACACCAGGCCTTCACACTCTGCACTAAAATCTCCCCCTTCCCCGTGATGTAATGTCAGGTATTGTCGCCCCCTTCCATTTAGCGTTACATTTCAACACAGGCAGCAGTGCTCCCATCCAAGCCAATCTGAATTAACTTTGCAGGTAAGATTGTGCGAGGCCTTGCATAAAATGATTCACTAAAATCAAGATAGATTACCTGCATCTTTCTAGGGAAGTCTGGTTCTTTGCTAATTTTGTAACTCTTCCCTTCCCCAGAACCCTAAGTCCCCTCCATGACACCTTCTCCCACTGCTCAGCGTCTCCTTTCTCATCCCCTCAAATGTTGTCTTTTCTTGCTGGAGACCTGGGGTTTATTTCTCTCACTCATTCCCTCTTCATATAGGTATCCTGAACTTTGGGGTCATTTTTACTCATTTTGGGACTATTCTGTGGCACTCATAGAGTACCCTTGGTTAGAATCTTGCTCCCTTAGCACCCTACCCACCGTCCTTTTCAGAATTATTCTGTGGATTATGGGACTGTCTTGATAGGACCGTGTTCTGTGGCAGGAATTGCCAGCAGGTAGAGAAATCTGATGTTAAGAATAGTTTAAGATTCAGCTCATAGGCTGAGTTGAAATCGCCAAGTTAGGTCCTTGTTAGGTTTTCTTGTCAGGAAATGAGAGAATAAGATAGGCAGTAGTTATGGAACAACTCCAAAGAGAATAAAATAAAGATGCAGGGGTCTAGAGAACTGAGCGCTGTGTCTGTGCTTCTGCACAGGTGTTGGGAAGAAGTGGGGAGGGCATCAGTGAACATGTTGCCTCAACGAAACCTTCCCCGTTGGCCTGGTGCGTGAAATCCAATCACTCTGCTCTGTGGAAGTCATCCAACTCTGTTTCAGGTTTTAGTTGAGCAGGAACAAAAGGAACAATGCCTTCTTTAACTGCTCTTAATTGTTCCAGAGCCCTAGTTATGGGAGGGGAAAGGGAAGCAGTTGCAAAGGCAAAAACAGACTCAAGTTACTCTGATGCGGAATTGATTTTAGTTTAATCGCATTGTAATCAGAGGTGGTCGTGGACTGTGTGATCATCTGTCCAGGGATCTTTTCTGCCCAGGAAGCATGCTTGATCTACCTGCGGGACGAGGCAAGAGTTAATGTCCCTAAAAGCAGCCCTTCGACCAATGGCAAGGAGTTGGTGACAAAATGTCCCAGCTTTTTGGCACTTTGGTTGGAATGACCCCGAGGAATGTCCTACACTGTCCACCAGTTTTCTAGAGACCCTGACCTCCAGATGCTGTCAGGTAACTGACCTGACACCACACCTTCTCTGCCTTCCTTCCCTTCCCTCTCGCGTCCCCACTTCCCTACCAGGTTTCTAGGATCACCTTCCAGAGAAACCACTCATACTTGAATGTTCATCTCAGAGGAACCCAAACCACCACAGAGACCATTTCTCGAACTTTTGCATTCATATTTGCCAGTAATGTTTAAAAAGACCAGCCTAAATGTAAATTTCTTGGATTTTTTCCTCAACTTCCCCACAGTCAAGTGTTAGGCTATTTTGTTTCTAAATTCCCAAATGGGTTTCCTGCAGTGTCTCTGTCCATTCAAACCCCAGCTCCTTCTGCAGTAGAAAGGCCAGTGATCTCCCCAAGATTACCTTGCTTTCCAGAGGGTTTAGAATTTTAGTCTTCGACTCCAAGTTCCAGTGGATGGTGAATTTTTATAAGTTGTTCCTTTGTTTCCAACCTGGCCTTAACCCATGTCTGGAACATTGTCGTGATTTTCACCAGAAAGTGGGAAAAAAAAA